TGCTGTGAGGCCAGCGGAGATCCAATGGGCACTGCAGAGGTTGCGGACAGCTTCAGAGCGCTGCGCTCAACCACCTGCGCCACCAGAGAGGCCCCTCAGAGCCTACTAATTTTAATGGTAGTCACATCTAAAAAAAAAAAAAAACTTTATAGCAACATCTAGACTGTTAATTGACAATAAAAGTGTACCATGGAAGGCCAAGATGACACATAAAATTAATCACTATTTGTTATGTTATAGGAGGCCCTAGTCCGTGTGATAAAAGCAAGGAAAATAAAAAGATATAATAGTATATGAGGCAATATAAAACAATCCATAAACTACTGGAAGTAATAAGAAAAATTTATTAAGATCAGTGGATAATTTTTCAAAATACAAAATGAATACTTTTCCTACATACTAGCAATAAGCAAATAGCTAATGAAATGCCAATTGGCATCAGAAATCAATCATTTAGGAATAAATGTAACAAAACATACTGAAAAAAATCAAAATTACTAAGAAAAACTAAAGATGTAAATTTATAGAAATACTGTCAATTTTTGTTATCCACCGTAGTTATGTTCTATGAAGTCTTCCCAAACACTCAATTCACAGGTACTGACAATTGCTCCTAGGGGACATATAAGATCAGGTTCTTGCTAAATCTTGATCACACTTTTGCCAACCATTCAATACGTCATCTTGTTTTATGTGTGTTTTCCTTTAAAGACAACTTATTTAATATGTATTGTTCATTTATCATGTCAGAGGCCTGAGTTTTCTGACCACTGGAGAGAACCAAGAAAGAAGAGGCCTTGAGGAACCATAAAAATGTATTGGAAACACTCAAGATAATGATAAAGAAAATCCCAAGACAGAATCTGGATAAATATAGCCATCAGCCCATCTATACTGTAGCAGGCCAGATGCAGCAAGACAAGAAAATTAGTAACTCCAAGAAAAGAAGACTTTGAAGGAAAGGAAAAGTAACTATTGTATTTTACATAGCTCAGTAGTCCATTATAGTTATCAATTCATAATAATGGGAGCACTAATTATTGATTCAACAAAAATTATGACACAATTGTTGGGTGAATAAAAGCATATGAGTTATATGCATGTGGAGCTTCAGGGCAAGAACTAACCTAATCCTCACCTTCTAAAGTAAGAAGCTAATAATAGGAAGCAAAACAGAAAATTAAGCAAGTGGAAATCTGCATTTGTATTTAGAGATATAAATGTATATATGAGAAAAATAGGGAAGAAGTTAAAAGCTGTTTCCTGTTGAGAGAAATCATTAGTCACAGTAAAGAGAGTGAATGTATTCCTGGTTTTCATAGCAGTTTTATAGAACTATTTTACTCCTTCATTATAAATATATACAATCTTGATAACAATAAAAACCAAACTAAAAAAAAAAAAGAACTTAAATTGGTATCCCCAGTATCTGAAATAATCTGAACTCAAACCCAACTGTATTGACATAGCTTGAAATCTCTTTAAAGTTTCACCTTAAAATTCAATACTTGGGCCTTTTCTGGTGGCACAGCACTTGAGCGCTGGGCTGCAAAGCTGCCTGCAGCCAGTTCAATCCCAGACCGCAGGCAAGGGTCCCACATGGTGCACAGACCTCTCCTGCCATGCCCGCTGCTCCCCCTAGCAGTGTATTTCGTCATTCTGCCTGTTCTGTTACCCGTTCTGGCTCTGGTGAATTCTCTTACCCTCCTGCGCTTCTGACTGTACCCAGTGCTCATATAAAATAAATAAGTAAATAAATCTTAAAAAAAAAATTTCACTTGTCTTATTGCTCTGGCTAGGACTTCCAGTATTATATTGAAAAGCAGTGGTGAGAGTGGACATCCTTGTCTTGTTCCAGATCTTAATGGAAATGCTTTCAGCTTTTCACCATTGAGAATGATACTGGTTGTTGGCTTGTCATAGATGGCCTTTATGATGTTGAGGTATGTTCCTTGTATCTCAAGAATTTCAAGGGCTTTTATCATGAATGGGTGTTGCACTTTGTCGAAAGCTTTCTCAGCATCTATTGATATTATCATATGGTTTTTATATTTCTTTTTGTTGATGTGTTGGATAACGTTGATTGATTTTCAGATGTTCAACCATCCTTGTGTCCCTGGCATGAATCCTACCTGGTCGTGGTGAATTATCTTATGGATACATTGTTGGATTCTGATAGATAAAATTTTATTGAGGATTTTTGCATCAGTGTTCATTAGGGAGATTGGCATGTAGTTTTCCTTTTTTGTGTCGTCCTTATTCGGTTTTGGTATTAGTGTAATGTTGGCTTCATAGAACGTGTTTGGTATTGTCCCTTCCTTCTCAATTTTTTGGAAGAGTTTGTGAAGGATAGGCACTAATTCGTCTCTGAATCTTTGGTAGAATTCATTTGTAAATCCATCAGGTCCTGGGCACAAAAATCTGCAAAGAGCTAATGATACTCAGCAACAACAAAGAAAATAATCCAGTCAAAAAATGGGCAGAAGAGCTAAAAAGAAACTTCTCTGAAGAGGAAATGCAAATGGCCAACAGACATATGAAAAAATGCTCAACATCACTTGTAATCAGGGAAATGCAAATCAAAACTACCATGAGATACCATCTCACACCAGTGAGAATGGCACATATTAAAAAAACTAGCAACAGCAAATGCTGGCGAGGGTGTGGAGAAAAAGGAACTCTCCTGCACTGTCGGTGGGAGTGCAAAATGGTCCAACCACTATGGAGAGCTGTGTGGAAATTTCTGGACCTACTAAACATAGAGCTTCCATATGATCCAGCAATTCCACTCCTAGGTATTTACCCAAAGGACACAGAAACATCAATTCCAAAGAACACCTGCACCCCTATGTTTATAGCAGCACTATTTACAATAGCTAAGCTTTGGAAACAGCCCAAATGCCCAAAAATAGATGACTGGATCAAGAAGATGTGGTACATATATACCATGGAATAATACTCAGCATTCAAAAAAGATAAACACATGCAATTTGCAGCAACATGGATGGCGCTGGAAGGGATCATGCTCAGCGAAATAAGCCAAAAAGAAAAAGAAAAATACCGGATGGTCTCACTCATAGCAGGAATCTAGAAAACTTAAATAAGGGACCAGGAAAATGAATAACTATAAGAAAGTGAAAATCAAAATCAACAAACAACTATGAACCAGAGACACTTTTTGGGGGGTAGGGGGTGGGAGGGGAGGGATTGGGGTCAGAATGGGGGGTTTGCAATTGTATGGGGGAGTATAAAAATAAAATTTATTATTTAAAAAAAAAATTCAGTACTATGTTTCATTTTACTCTCTGATATTTGTATGTTGACAGAGCTTTTCTTTGTGTCCCAAACTTCATACACCTCAGACTACAAAACAAACAAACAACCTTTTGGTTTTTGGTTTTGTTTTGTTTTATGAGATTTCCCCCCAATTATGCCAAAAATTACATAACATACAATTTATCATCTTAACCATTTTTTAGCGAACAGTTCTATGGCATTAAGTACTTTCACATTGTTGTGCAACATCTCTGAAACCATGCCAATGCTGGGGGATGTCATAGCTCATTTGTCCTCACCCTTTTGCTTACAACTGTAAGACACTACTCAGGTTTAGGGTGCAAAATAACGAAGGGTTTACTAACAGAGGGTAAAATGGGGAAAAAGAAATAGTTTCTATGGCCACATATGGCTGGGTCTCCTATCCCAGAAAATGTCTGCAGTGCCCAGTGGTTCAAATCAAAAACTGCTCATGCAAGATGGTGTTGTCCCTTCAATGAGAGCCTGGAGTTGTTGGCACACCAATAAGCTGTAGACTAGGTTCCAACTCAGGGTGGAAGTAGGAGATGATCACAGGTGGTACTGCTGAGGTGGCCCCAAAGCAGCCAGTGACAGCAATCCAAAGTCCAGGCTATATAACACCAGACAGCAGACAAGACAGTGCTGGAGGCAACAGCACCAAGAGGCAGTGCTAGAGAGTCAGAAGCAGAGGATAGCTCTTAGAGAAGGCCAGACACAGGTCAGCAGTGCTGGTCACAGTTCAGCATGTCAGTTAGCACTGGTCAGCAGGTAGTGCTGTCAGAGCAGCAGGCACTAGTGTTACAGTTCTTAAAGATGCTGGGCATAAGCTATTGACAGAGAGCTCTTAGAGAGCTGGTGCCAGGGGACCAGGCACCAGATACAACTTTTCAGAGTCACTGGGAACAGGCCAACTGTACTAGCCAGGAGGTGATGTCAGAGGTAAGACCAGAGATCTCAAAGATCTCAAAGGTCTGCAAAGGTCACAAAGGCCTAGGAGGTCACAGAGGTTTTAGTCTGTGTCAGTCTCTAAGGTCTGGGGGATCTGCAAATTTCTGTGAACGTCTGAGTCTGGCTGAAGATGGAATTGGTCTGAAGCTCTCTGAAACCTTGACTTATATCCCCTTCAGGGTATCCACTTTTAAAGCTGATTGGTCCATGTACAGTTCCAGCTTTTTCCAAGATTTGATTGGTTCTGGTCAAGTTCAAATCTGATTGGTCCATTTACAATTCCTGAGTGATCTCAAAACCTTGAATGGCACTGGTTGGAGCTTGAACCTGATTGATCTATCAGGAGCTTAAATCTGATTGGTTCATTTACAATTCTGGCAAGGTTTTCAAAAGTGAAACCACACTAGCATGTCCAAACTTTATTTACACTGATATGGGTCAATCCAGTATCAGTGGTGGGCCCTGCAGCGGAGCCAGGTATGCAGCAAACCCAGCTGCTGAGGTGGGTTTCAATGGGCTGGATGTTCACCCAAGCAGCCAGACCACAGACTGTTTTTGGAGCTCCAGGGGCTGACCTGTGGACTATTTGCTGAGCTCAGATTACAGACACATCATGGTCTCTCTTCCCATGGCTCGCGCTGATGCTGGCCCTTAAGCCTGGCTGCCAAGGCAGACCTCAGCAGAATCAATCACCCCCCTTGCTTTGCGGGACTTCTGTTACATCACAATTATCCATTTCCAGAACTCTACCTTCCCAAACTGAAATTCTGTACTCATTGTGCAATGGCTCCTGATCCCCCACTCCCACACTCTAAGCTCCAGTAATCAACATTCTGGCTCTGTGTCTACTAATTTAACTATTCCAAGTATCTCACGTAAGTGGAATCATAGTATGTCTCTGTGACTGTTTTTTTTTTTTTTATCACTTAGCATTCCAAGGCTCTTCCATGTTGTAGGATGTGTCAGAATTACGTTCCTTTTTAAGACTGAATTAATATTCCATTGCATAGATATACCATATTTTGTTTATCCATTCACCTGCTCATGAACACTTGAGTTGTTTCCAACGTTTAGCTATGTGGATGCTACTGCTATGAACATGGGTGTTTCTCTTTCAGACCACACCCTTCAGATTTATATTCAGATTTTTGCACAATGTCATATATCTATTTCTGAGATTTTTCTCATCTCATATTTAAACAGAAATTATTCATCCCCTTTTTCTTGGCTACTCATATATTCAACAAACATTTACTATATGTATACTATTCTAAGCATGATGGATTCAGCAGTGTGTAAAGATGAAGAGGTCTTTCTCTCACTGACTTACATTCTAATAGGTGAAAGGGATGGCCAAGGAAAGGAAACATACAGAAGGACAAGAAAATGTCCACCACTTAAAGATTGAAAGAAACGTAACAGGCACTCATGTCCTTCTGTTCTGTGAGTCTCTGAGAACCCTGGACTCTCCTGTTCCAAAATCCATCAGGAAGCAGCAGCACATCAAGACACAATTGTCTTCTGCTGCAAAACCCACCAAAACTCCTACTCTAGCCACAGGAAGAGACAATACTCTCCTTTTGCTGCTCCTCTGTGATAAGAAAAGCCTTCCGAAGTCCTCTTTACAAGACCAGAGAAACAGGTGCTCTGAAGGAGCTAAGAGTTAAAAGCAGGGAAACAACCCAGTGTCTGGGAACAGAAAGGTTCCCTGCCAGACAGCTGGCCTCAAGCCATGCAGGAAAAGCCAGTCCCCTCTTTACTGGAGAGCATCAGACACCACTGCACTGTGAATTCAGTGCAGTGCAAATTGAAATAGCCATGTGAGGGCCACCAATATAAGTCTGACTCAGGATATGCTCCTGCATCCAAACCAGTGGAGCTCATCCCCCACACAACACAGAGGCCATGGGCAAGCTTCCCTCTTTCCTGGCAAGTTTCTTAGGGCTTGAAAACAAACAAGTAAACAAAAGAAGGCAGTAGCATAGCACCCATTGTCTCCTTAAGATTATTGCCATTTAGAACAACCAAAATTGGGGTGGGGGCAGAGGAAGGGGAGACTGTTTTAATGAAATAGTTCACAAACTTGAGTCATATAAGTCAGGAACCTCTGTGTTGGGCATGTTGGTTTGTCCCATCATGCTGTCTTCATCACTCACAACTTACACAGTTCTGAAATTCCCAGTCATGCCTTGTTGACCATCTTAGCCCTACCCTTCACTCCATGCTGGCTCCACTGTTACATTACTTACAAATGTTAAGAAAATCCTGATAAACTAGATTCCACATACAAATCATTATGCTAGCTTATATTTAAAATCATTTTGTGTGCATCCAACTCAACAATAACCATCTGTAATAGACTGGAGACTCTATTCCTATTTTCTCCATAACACATTTCATTTTTTTAAAAATTTATTTATTTATGCATACAAGAACTGGGGTGCAGGCCAGAGATGTGGGGGGTGAGAGGATTCACCAGAGATAAAGCAGGGAACACACTGATGAAATACACTGCTGAGGGGAGCAGCGGAAGAGTCAGGAGAGGTCTACTGCACCATATGGGTTGCTCCCTGGCCAGCTGGTGATTGAACTCATGCTGCAGAGGTTGAGGATTGCTTCATAGTGCGGTGTTTAACCCCTTGCACCACCAGGGAGGCCCCCATAACACATTTTAAACTAAGATCAAGTTATTTAATAGAGTTGGCTAAAATAAAATGAGTGGGTCAAGTGAATACAAAAAGTCTCCTAAATCTCATAGGCTTTTTTCTACCTCCTTCTAATGTGAGAAACATGAGACACGCACATGTTGACCTAATTCAGCATTTTATCCTCAATGCCTTGCATAGTGCCTAGAATGTAGTTGACATTCCATGAGTATTTCCACAAGGAAAAGGAGTGGTGGGGAAGGGAAAGGAAGGAAAAGAAAGGGAAGGAAAAGGAAAGGGAGGGGAGGTGAGGGGAAGGGAAATGGAAGGGAGGGGAGGGGAGGGAAAGAAAGCAAGGAAGGGGGATATTTATTTATAGGATGAATCCATTGTAATTTTCCTTTACAAGTATCTGGATTTTCCCCCCCTCCTTATCTTCTGACAGGTGCATTTTATTAAGCTTAAAACTGTCATTAATTGACATTTAATTGCTACTCTCTTTCCCCTCCCCTATTAGCAACCATAGAAGTGATCTGGTTTTAAAGGAGCTTGAAGCACTGTACTAGCCAGAGAAAATATCTGGAAGCAACTAGAATGTCCATCACTTGCATCTCATCAGTTATGGTCTTTAATGCATGTGTGATCTCAACTCTAACAAGGTGCCTGGTGGGCTATGCAAGGTTATTCTAGTCTAAGCTTTGATGTCCTTTGTTGATAAGATCTTTAGTTTGCTTGCTATCTGAAACTTTTTATAAAAATGCGGTTCAGTTAGATCTCTGAAAACTGAAAAGCTCTTTTTATAACATGAATGGCATCTGAATAAACCAGGCTCTTGTGTGAGGTGATCAGCATGTATACATGTGTACATGTGTAATAGGTAAATTACAGTAAAGTTTGAACAAGTTCTCAGAAGATCAAGCCACCTGGCTTTTCAGAGACCATTTTCAGGTCTTTCCACTTTTTAATCACAATTTCTTTTTTTATAAAGAACTTTTTTTTTTAAGTATTTATTTATTTTTATACAAGAACTGGGGTACAGGCTAGAGGCAGGGGAGGGTGAGAGGACTCACCAAAGACAGAGCGGTGAACAGAAAAGGCAGACTAAAGAACTACACTGCTGAGGGGAGCAGCGGGCAAGACAGGAGAGGTCTGCTTCGCCATGTGGGATTCTCTCCCGCCAGCCGGGATCAAACCTGCGCTGCAGAGGCTGCGGACAGCCCCACAATGTGGCACTTAACCGCCTGGGCCACCAGGGAGGCCCTTTAATCACAAAATTTTTCTTCTTATTCTCTACTTTTTGATTGTTCTGCCTCTGGTACGATCTAATATAGAAAACAGAGATTCCTCCTGTTACTAAGGGACATTACCCTGGGTTGACAGAAATATGTAATCAATAATTTTTAATAGTCAGCACCAGCCCACATCTTCTATTTTGTAACCAGTTGTAGCCTGATTAGAATGCATGTAGATTTGCATGCATTCTAATATTAGCATTTTGTCTGAAAATCTATACTTAGAACTGTTTTCTCTGACATGGATAAACTTATAGAGAAATCGTGAGATGAAATCATGACAGAAAGCAATTTTCTTCTGATGCTAAAACATCAGCAGTGTACCATTACTATTTCATTTTATTGACTTCATAAAAGAACTGAAATGGGATTTAATGATAAAAAATGAGATGATTAAAAACTCTGCTTCTGCTCTATTATATTGATCTTAATATTTAATAGGAAATGAGACTTGCTTTGTTTTCTGTAACAAACAGTGTGTCAAACCCAGAATAGATATACTCTGAAAAGTAGAATGAAGGATAAACCATAGACAGACTGGAGAAAACACCAATAACGTTGTTAAAAGTGAGAAGAAAATTTGAGAAAGCAGAAAACTATTTGTAGATGGCATGAAAAAATGATTCAGAAAAACAATAAATGTCTTTCTTCCCTCCTAATTGTTGCAATTCCCTGTAGCTGTCCTTCTTTAGCCAAATGGCTCTTCATCTAAAGAAAAAGGTCAACAAAAAGACTGACCATCCCCCATGGCTTTGGCATTAACCGCCATGACAGCTGAACAGACAATCTAGTGGCAAGATGCCCAGAGAAGTCCAGCAGAATCTCCAGGCACTAGCATGTGCATGAACACCTGAAGGGCCAGTGCTCTTCACTCATGTGGCACATCACACCCTCACAATGTCACCTCCTACCAAGCTCAAGGCTGGTAAACTCTAAGAGTAACTCAGGCACAGATATTCTCAAAAAAAAATCTCCTTAGGCAATTTGATTGTGAAGTCAGAGTTAAAGAGTACTGAAGTGGGATAATCATTTATGGACCATTGGCCATTTACTGACACATACAGCCTCAATGTTCTCAACTGTGAAATGGAATAATAGTAGCAATTATCTTTCTGCATTACTGTAGCAATTACATGGAATAATTACATATGTAATTATGCATAATTATGTACATAGTGACTAGCAAGTGTAAAAGCTGGCGAATCATTACCTGCGATTGTTAAAGTTGACACCACCCCTTGCTGAATGAATTTGTAGGGGATAGGAAAATAGGCACTCTCAGGTGGTGACAATGTAACAATGTAATGGCACAAAATCTCTTTGTATTTGACAGCCAGTCCTAAAAATCAAACCCTGGAAGTCCTTGATTAGTGTGAACAGCATGGGGCATGACCCTCCCTAGCAGGACATGTTCAACCACATGTGTGCTCCTAGTATGTCTCAACTAGGTTCCAGGAAGATCCACATAGATGTCATTAGAATCTTCAGGACAGGCCTTGCTCCTTAGTCATACTGTGCATACTCAACTCGAATAAAGAGAAAATATACTGATAAATGCCAGTCCCACACTTCACTAAAAACAAAGGACTCTGGTTGTTGAGTGTTTGACTTCTTAATGCTCATCTTGCACCCAGGGAAGAGTGGAGGACAGCACTAGCTTTAGATGGGCATTCTTTAGGCATCTATTGGGTCTTATGTGCTCTCAGCATCGTTTGGGCCCCACAGGGCAGCTTCTCTTCCATGTTGTGCTGTGGCTAATTAGGCTCTGCTGCACTGGGCCCCACCCGGGCGGGGACCAGGGGCCGCATACGGAGCTTGACATGAACTGGTCCCCAATTAACATGCAGAGTTTTGGCTTTGGTAGACACAGGAGCAGAATGTACTCTGCTATGTGGAAATCCAGAAAAATTTCAAGGGTCTGCTTTTTACATTGATAATTTTTCATTAGTTATGGTTTCCTAAAAATGAACTCTAAATATGACATTTTCCAGAAAGCACATCTTCACTTTTCTAATATATACTCATTAGTTTGGTCAATAGGTCTTCACAACCATGTGTTTGCTTTAAAATTCTTAAAGGCTTTCTTGAGGTATATTTGATATACAAAGAACTGAACATATTTGATGTGGTGATGTTTACTTCTGTGGGCCATGACTGCAGTATTGAGATATTCACCTAGAGAAGCAGAGGCAGGAGAGAGAAGGGGAGAGAGAAGCCCATGATGAAGACTTGCCAGGGGCTTGGAGGCCTGCAGACCTCCTGGCTCCCCGGCACCCTGCCCCCCAGAACCCCTGCCTGCCATGTTCCTGGTTGCTGAACTACATATAAAAGCTCAATAAAAGTCTGAGAAAGCCACTGAGGGTTCCAGACTCTCCTTTACCCGTCTGCTCCAATCATAGAAAACCTGCTCTGTGGCCTTCCTGCCCCTACAACTGGGCCCCACTGGATGGATGGAAAATGGAGATACCAGAGAGACTTGTGTCACTCCAACCATACAGGATCAATGTTACCTCCTCACATATTGGTACAAGTGCCACATTATATTTCTTTTTTTTTAAGATTTATTTATTTTTATTCAAAAGCTGGGGTACAGGCCAGAGGCGCGGGAGGGAGAGAAGATTCACCAGAGACAGAGTGGGGAACAGAAAAGGCGGACTGAATGAAACACACTGCTGAGGGGAGCAGCAGGCAAGGCAGGAGAGGTCTGCTGCACCATGTGGGTAGCTCCCTGGCCAGTCAGGAATAACCGGAACTGCAGAGGCTGCGGACAGCTTCACAGTGCTGCGCTCAACCCGCTGCGCCACTGGGGAGGCCCCTATATTTCTTTTTTATTGAAGTATAATTGATGTATAGTACAGATTCAGCTATAAAACAATGATTTGATATTTGTATAACTGAAATGACTACCACAGTAAATCTAGTTACCATCTGTCACCATACATAATCACACATATTTTTCTGTTGTCTACGGACCACCCAGCCCATGTATTCTGTTATAGCAGCCTGGACAGATTATGAAACTCTCTAACCCCTGGCTGGGTGGACTGATGGCCACTCAATTTGGTTTTTAAGTTAGGCTGGGTACTGTGAAGTATAGGAAAGCATGTCCAGCTGCCTGTGCTACCATTTTGGCAGAGAAATGTTAAACATTTTCATGGAAAATAATACACATTGGTAAGAATGTCACTACTACAAATATTTCCTACATTAGAGCAAAAATAGAAATACACACTTCATGGAAAACAGGATTTGCTATTGCACTTCGCTGGCAGGTAAAGAATAGCAAGAAAGTAATATTATAGAGTTGTTTGTTACTCATTTGTGATGGAAAATATCATTTGTCATCCTTTTCAGCATTCTGCTTTGTTTTTTTTAGTGACAATAATATTTATGGACTTTTAATTTTCTTTTCTTGTCTTTAAAATGTTGATTGTAAATAATCCCCCCATCAGGTTTTCACTATCTTTCTATGAGGGATCAACTTTGTGCATAAAAGAGAAGTAAAATAAACAGAAACCACACCTCTAGGAATGTGATAGTGACACATACAAGGGAATTATTAGATAGAATGAGCCAGCAGGAGACCACGGAATTATTTGGATACCTATTGTAGGTGAATCAAGATCTACAAATCAATGAAATTGTCCAAACAGCTGAGAAAATTAACTTGCGAAGTGAATTTAACAAGGGCATGGAAACTCCTGACATCATTTTTTACATTTATTTTCAGGTAAGGACTTTGCAGATATGGCCTCTCTTATGAGAGAATGCCACATGCCCCAAGACAGAGATAGTACAGCAATATTTCTTGGCCTTAATTTCTTTTTTTAAAAATATTTATTTATTTATACATACAAGAACTGCAGTATTAACCAGAGGTGTGGGGAGTGAGACAATTCACTAGAGATAGAATGAGGAGCAGAATAGGTGGATCTAATGAAAGACATTGCTGAGGGGCGCAGTGGGTGAGACGGGAGGTCTACTGTGCCATGGGGTTAGCTTCTGGCCAGGGATTGAACTTGTGCTGCTATGACTGGCATAGATGATAGTGCTGTGTCTTTAACCTCTGCACCACCAGAGAGGCCCAATTGGCCATAATTTCTTTTTTTTTTTTTAAAGATTTGTTTATTTTTATACAAGAACCAGGATACAGGCCAGATGTGTGGGAGGGTGAGAGGATTCACCAGAGACAGAATGAGGAACAGAACAGGCAAACTGACGAAATACACTGCTAAGAGGAGCAGCGGGTGAGACAGGAGAGGTCTGCCTCTCCATGTGGTACTCTCCCCGGCCGGCCAGGATCAGAGGCCGTGAACAGCCTCACAGTGCGGCGCTCAACCGCCTGCGCCACCAGGGAGGCCCTGGCCTTAATTTCTTAAAACAAAAAAATGATTATTTAAAATTCATGGACAAGGGAACTCTGATGTTATTCGGTGTAATGTTATTTTAAAATAAATAACATGCCCTGAAAATGAACTTTGTATTTTCTAATTTCTGACTTTTAGAGGTGAAAATAAAGAAAATGAAACTGGGAAAATGCACTTGCTATTGCCCCAACATCACATTTTCCCGTGAGTAAGCTGAAATATCATGATATTGTGTCTTTGACATTGTCCTCCTGCAAAGTATAGTATAAATGCAGCTTTCAAAGTTGAGCTAAGAATTCCAATAGAAAAGCCTGATCTTAAAGACAGAGGAATCCAAATAGTGGAACATTAACTTTTAATTAGCTTGAGATTGATTTGTTTATTAGGCATATGGCTATGAATGTCAATTTCTGAGTTATAAAACTTAATGACAAACTTAAAGCTAAAATAATGTAATATTTTTGTAACACTTAATAGTTTTCAAAGGACATTTTAACATATATGACTTTGACCAGATAGTCAAATTACCATGATCCACACTTTATTAAGGAGGAAACTGAAGGTCAAAAATATAATATCTTTTTTCTTTAATTTTAAAATTATGTTTATTGAGACAATGTTGATTTGCAACACTGTGTATGTTTCAGTGATATAGATTCACACCTCTGAAAATGTATGTTCTCATTCTGTGTTCCCAACCCAAACGTCAATAATCTTCCACTATAGTTCCATTGAGTACCCTTCTCACTTTGCTCCAAATGCCCCCAACCCCTTCTGGTAACCTCAGTTTTATAGTCAGATTTCATGGTTTGTTTTGGTCTGTGCCTTTGTATTGTTTTTCCACATACCAGTGAAACTGCCCAGTATTTGTCTTTCTCCCACTGTCTGCTTAACACAGTCCCCTCCAATTACAACCATGTTGTCTCAAAAGGCAAGATTTCATTTTTTCTTAACACCTAAGAGTATTATATTGTGTATGTACCACCTCTTCTTTATCCCCTCTTCTGTCATTGGGTCCTTGGTTGTTTCCATAGCTTGGTTATTGAAAATATTGCTGCGGGGCCTCCCTGGTGATGCAAGGGGTTAAGAGACAGCACTATGAAGCAATCTGCAGCCTCTGCAACATGAGTTTGATCCCCACCCAGGGAGATGACCCACATGGTGCAGCAGACCTCTCCTGTTTCATCCGCAGCTCCCCTCAGTGTGTTTCAGTCAGTCTGCCTGTTCTCTTCCCACTCTGTCGCTGGTGAATCCTCTTACCCCCCTGAATCTCTGGCCTGCACCCCAGCTCTTGTATGAAAAAATAATTAAATCTTTAAAAAAAAAAAGAGGTGGGTTATGGATGAATTAGGGTCTTGCCACTAAAAGGCAAATAGAAATTATGAGTCTGAATACAAAGAAATATAGAAGGTACTCTTTGGATTTGACGCAGTAAACTGTGCAGTATCTGATGGCACTTGGCTCAGCACTATTATCAGATGAAGGATGACAAACTTACTGATAACTCATAGGTCCTATACCAGTCTATATTCTCTACTTGACTTTTTAACTGTTAGGGCTGTGGTATTACATGGAGAGTTAATGATCCGTAAAATACCTGACTGGCCTCCCTGGTGGTACAGGGGTTGAAGTCTCAGCACTATCAAGCTACCACACTATCGCCAGCCGCTGTGGCATGAGTTTGATCCCCAGCCAGAGAACTAACCCTCATGGGACAGCAGACCACTCTTGTCTCACTGGCTACTCCCCTCAGCAGTGTTTTTCAGTAGATCAGCCTGTTCTGCTCTGTCTCTAGTGAATCCTCTCAACCCCCGCAGCTCTGTGGCTTACACCCCAGTTCTATGTATAAATAAAAGAAAAAAATAAAACCTTTAAAAAAATTAAAAATAAAAAAAACCTGACTAGAGGAAATTTTGAATAAAAGGTTGAAGTCCCCTTTGAGTCTCTGGCTTGAGGGACTATTGTGGCTACTGGGGGAAATGATAATCCTTTAATTGTACCCTAAGAGGGCCAGCAAATATAGCTCAGCCAGGGACTGTAGTGTCCCAGACATCTGGAGTTATCATAGCCAGAATGGGAATCAATGAGTTTTTGGGTTTCTGCACTATATTTATCACCTATAGTGGCAGCTAAGAGAGCCAATAGTAGTTGTAGAGATTTGGCTAATTGGAGACTAAAGTTTGGTCATGATGCCCTGGGGCATGAAGGCAAGACCAAAAGTGAATGTGTAAATGTGTGACCTTGTAGTGAGCAGTGTAGTAGCACTTTGAAGTGTCCTGGTTTAGGGTGGCCATCAATACCAGTTAGGAGGATAGCTGACTGTTAGGTTGGTCCAGAGAATTGGAATGGAATAAGGCAGAGTAGGTGGCTCCCATATCCACAAAGTGATTTCTCTGTCACTTTTAGGGTCACCTAAGGGATTGTAAATAGGGGGACCCATCTACATCTGAGACCCTTCAGAAAAAAGTTCTTCTCTTCCGGTGCCACGTACTTCATAGTCAATGGCCACAGTGGTTTGGTCTGGCCCCCTCCCTCTCTGGAAAGTGGGACAGTTCTTCCAATTCCCTGTGTGATTGCACAGAGGAAGAAGCTGTGGAGACATCTTCTGACATTCACAGTGGAAGTGTTCCATTTTCTGGCAGTGGAAACAGGCTAGGGACCCTTTTGGAGACTTGGGTCCCAAATGTCCTGGGAGTACATAGGGTCTCAGGTGAGTCTGAAATGGCAGGACACTGGCAATGGCAGATGCCATATATTGGGCCCTTTTCTCATCTTTCTCCCATTCCCTCTTTTTATGTTGGACATGACTGATCTATTCCCTATTATTGTAGACCTTGAAGGCCTTGTTCAAAAGTGACAATAAAGGGGTCTGAGGCCCTTGCTCTAGCCAGATCTTGTGCCTGATGTCAGGGCAAGCCTGATAATGAAGTGGACTGCTAGGTTGGCTTGTCCTTCAACAGTCTCTGGGTCCAGATTAGTCTACTTTCTCTTGGCCTCAGTGATTCTCGCTTGGAATAAAACAGGATTTTCATTAGGCTCTTGAGTAACCTCCCTCAGTTTATCATAATTGACTGACTTAGCAATGGCCTTCTGCATGCCCTGAAAGAATCAAAAAATCATATAGTCCCTGCTACTATGATCTGGTTTTCAGAGTTGATAATTTCACTCAAAGTCAGTGCCAGGTCTGTGATCATGAACATTACAAGCATGCAACTCGTCTGCATATGTTTGAGCCTGTGTCCAAATCCTTGTCCTTTTTTTACTGTACAGAAAGTGGTCAGAATAATATACTCATATATATATGCTATTTCCACTGCCAGCAACCATGACACTTCCATATATAAATATATAAAATCTTGCCAGGTTAAATAAAGGGTTAGAGTAAGTCCTCTAAATTCTTTAATAACATGGATGGAGTCCCATGAGTAACTCCCTATTTTTTTTTCAAGGATTTATTTACTTATTTATAGAAGAACTGGAGTACAGGCCAGATGTGCGGGAGGGTAAGAGGATTCACCAGAGACAGAGCAGGGAACAGAACAGGCAGACTGACAAAATACACTGCTGAGGGGACCAGCGGGCAAGACAGGAGAGGTCTGCCTGGCCATGTGGGTCCCTCACCGGCCAGCCGGTATCAAACCGGCACTGCAGTGGCTGTGGACAGCTTCACAGCGCTGCGCTCAACCACCTACGCCACCAGGGGAGGCCCAGTAAGCTCCCTATCTTGTCCTCAAGCTGGGTAAGGTCAGACATGGGAAAGGGCATGTGGATTCTGATGGTGCCCAATTCACCATTTGAAACCTCTCACATGGCAAAGATTTTAGATTCATCCCTTTGGGAGTGTTCCTGAGTGGAGTTATAGAGTGTGCCACACTGAGTGTGTGCAGGGAAAAGAGGGTCATAAGGAGGTCGGGTTTTAGGCTAAGAAGGAGAGAGTTCAGGGGGTTGTGACAGTGGTTCCAAAGAGGGAGCTTCTGCTGGGGAAGAAAAGTATGGTGGGCTGACTAGATGTGGTGCCCACAAGTTCAGAGGAACCCCCAAGAAGAGGGATCATCTAGAATGTCAAGTCCGGGTGTAGGACCTGAAAACTTTGTCAAGCACATCTGGCAAGATTTGTGGAGGTCTGTATCTTGACTATAGGCCATAGAAGTCTGAACATGAGGCACCTCTTACTATTTGCCTCACTATGGCAAAAGGCATCTAGTTGGGGAACAGTATTATAGCTAAGGATGCCATTTATAGGCCAGATTTCTTGGTCCTCTAGTTTGTAATGAGGACAGGCAATATTACAGAGAAAGAGTAGGTGTTTTTTCTTTGAAGTGTGGGGATCAATAGACTGTTCGATGATCTCTGCAGCAACAAAAGGAAAGTACCCACAATGAATGGTGCAAAGATGAATCAGGGAAATCCCCACCACTAGATCTGAGGGCCTGAGTGGCAGAAGCCACTGAATGGACAACCTCACAGTCTGGGATCATCTCTCCTGGAAGTTAGGAGTCTGGAAACTGTCACTAGCCAGGATATCTGCCCAATAAGGACCACCTGCATGTGACCTGTCAACTGGCCATATAAGAGTCAGACCTGAGTCACTCACTAGATTGTTGAGCAGAGTTTCAAGAGCTGGGGATTGCTGAGTGGATGTTCGGGAATTTGGGCTTGTAGTGCAGAACAAGTAGACTCGATCACTGGCCACAAAGGAAAAAGTAAAGAGGAAAGTGAAACTGCCTAACATCCTGATTATAGCAGACTTCCTAGCTTATAGGGACCTAACAAGGACACTTGGGGGTGCCTGAGTCTGACCCCATTAGTTGTCCATGATCCAAAGAGCCCACCAGGCAGGAATTTCAAAGGAGGAAAAGGCTATTTTCCACCAATTGGGCCATAGTGATTTTTGAGGGCAACTGAAGACTTTTAAGCAATGTCATTGTGAATGACCTCATGCATTTAATTGCTTCAAGGTTTCCCGTAGCCTACCAGAGAACAAGAAATTGACAAAGGAATAAGAGGCTCCCATACAGGCAAACTCAGAGTGTTGGCCAGAGGTTAAGGGTGGAAAAATTCACCAGACAGAGTAGAAAACAGGAAAGGCAGATTTATTGAAATACATTGCTGAGAGAAGCAGTAGGCCTAACAGGAGAGATTGTTGGTGCTGAAAGAGGTCTCAAGGCCCCTTTTATACTCTTGTAACCAGTGATTGGCTGGAA